CATGCATATATACATTTACATTCGAACTGTCTGTACTTGTGTTCATAGTTTGTATTTTCAGTTGGGGGTTATTCCTGCAGTTTATTGATCTTGTCATTTGTGGCTGCTTGCTCTGAGGCTACCATATTATTCGCGTTCGAATTTTTTTTCACTTACCTGCTGGTCGTAGTGCGCTATGTCTGTTAACAACCTCTCATTTGTTCACGAATTATGTGCTATGCCATCAGTGTAGTTGTTGTCCCACACAGAAGGTCTCGCATATGTTTCGCGATGTTTATCCGCTATCCGATGATGGGTTTGCAACCTTGGGTGAACTATCTAAGATGTGGGATACGAAGTCGTATGGTCATAGGGTGGATGGCAGGGAACGTACGTTGATATAATACTACACTGGTACACACACAGTGTCACACTCGCATACATGCGGAGCCGTCCACATGACCCCAAATAGTCTACGTTGTACTCAACACCGCAATCTCCTATTTACCTGCAGAACTGCACTATATGCAAGGACAGAGGACGCGATGTAAAGGCGGCCACGGGGGTGACAATCCCCTGCAAGAAGTCGACCTGTTCAGCACACGTCCATGTGTCTTGTGCGCAGTCCAAACGTTTATTAAAGTTCGCCTTCAAGGACGATATGGTGTGTCTTACGTATTGTGCCAGACATGGAGGGAATCGGTCGCGAAGCTCCAGCGCACAAACCAACACACACAGCACACACAGCACAACTAAAGGCGGGGGTGCCCAGGTGGGCAGGAGCACCAGCGCAAGCGCGAATGAGGAGTCGGGTAAGGAAGGGGATAGAGATATAAATAGACAGAGAAGCAAGCAACGAGAAGGCGAGAGCTCTAGGGCTTCTAGGGCCGTATCGCAGACCAAGGAAGGAGAAGAACGGCCAGCCGCAACGAATGCGGGTTCGTTTAAAAGCAAAAATAGCAAAAGCGGGGATAGTGCCGGCGGTATTAAACGCGAGTTGAAGGGCAGCATCACGAATACTTCTGGCGAGCGAGAGGGCAGCACCCGCGAGGGGGATAGAGACACCACAGAACAGGACAGAAATAGTAAACGGCCACGCAAGGACGTCAAGCGGGAAAGTTCGGTACGAGAGACGAAAGGGACGAGCACCAGTAGTATTGCAATTAGCAAGGACGCATCGGGGAGTCAGCTCAGGGCTCGGGTACAGAGCTTTGTGCGCAGTCAGAATACGGAGATGAAGGAGTTTATCGAGCAGGCAATGTTGGGTACGAAGGAGAAGTTCGTAGAGATCCTGCCGAAGGTCAGGCAGATGAGTGAGGATAACAGGGCTCTGCAGCTGCGAATAAAGGCGTTAGAGGACGAGCACGCGGCTCTGACGACGGTCCAACAGCGGTTGAATGAGAGGAGGCAAGCCAAGACTGTGCCGCCGAAGGCGGACAACATGCAGCATGTCAACAAGAACCTTATTACGGCCATCTTTATCATTCTGAGCGAGCTCAACGGCCAGAGTATGGAGTCGTTCAATGCCATTGAGGTACGGGGAACTACCTCACGTTTCACAGTGTTGTGTGCCGTTGGCAGTGTTATGTCATCGCATACTAGGGATCAGTGTTTGGTGTGCTAGGTGTCTGACTATTACAGGTATGTGTGCGCATCAAATCTAGGCCCTTGTGTGATAATATTTTTGAATAGCTGTCGGGATATTAGTGTTAAGTGTTAATGAGTGATAGAGTTTGTGCACTATCTGCCACAATGGCTGTGCGAGGTTTTAGGTTTGTGTGTGATTTTGTGAGTTTAGGGTCGGCGATGGCGTATGTGTGTTGATGTCTGTTGTTTAGTGTTTGAAAATACACCGTCACACATATATATATAAACACGCGCGCACAATAAGTCCCATTTCCCACGTATAAATGCTCCAACAAACACGAACAAGTACAGTCACGTTTTGTCCACTCACGCCAGGACTGATTGCAATGATTTCATTCCCATTTACAGAATAAAGACTCATTCATCTTGAAGGTGTTCGACCAGTTGCAAGCGCAAGCAGAGGAGGGTGTGAGTCCGACAGCGCGTGATAGACTTATACGAGGAGTACTTAGTAAATGTTTAAAGGAATTCACATTAATATGAATAAAAGATCTATAAAATTATAGGGGATATTCCCGATTGTCTACCTTTAGATGTGTAAGGAGTATCGACAAAAGTAAGGAGCTAGAACGAAGGCGAGTCATCCGGATTGTAATCTCAATCTCAAACCAAAAAAAGTATTCGCGCAACGGTATTTTGAGGACGTTCAATATTTTAACACTAGAATTTATCAATTTATTTCACTACAGACAAATCTCTAAATAGTTGTGTGGTCAAGACAACTCTTATCACAGCTGCTTTCCGACTAAACAGGAGGCGCACTATTATACCTCGCCCTGCAGTTTTATGTCGTCTGCTCTAACGCATAAAGAGGTGTTTTATTACCAATAATATTTGGTGTTTGCCAGTAGTGATTGGAAGCACCTGTGTCACTTCGGTCGTGAGAGTGAACTGAAGTAGCCATCAAGTCTATGATGGGTCTATTACGTTGGAATCTTTGTCACGGTGCCATGCATGTGCATCTCAACAGATACTAGAACTATTATGGTTTACACACGTGGGCATACACCATTGGATAAAGCGCTTGCTTCAACGTATCTCCCTCAATCAAACCCCATACATTCGGTAGGTGTATAGTTCACCTACCAATTGCCACGGTTAGCTCTCAGCGTATCCGTTACGCTTCCCAGATCACCTGAGAAAAGTTATTTGCGCGCCTCTGGCTGATAATTTCAGTAGATAAGAAAACACGCCCCAATACCCCACTGTCCCTTAGTACCCCCCGCTGGGCAATAGGGCAGGCCTAGTCTTGCTAACCGATCCTTCGGGCAGTTCCCTGGGACCGAAAGTAGTGGCGCTACTCGTGGCACTGAGCAGCGTGTGTTTGCTGAGTCGGTCCACTCCGCTCATGTGCGCATCGTTCGGATGCTTGCTACTCACCTTCTTACCCCTGAGCGACGCCAGCATATTGGACGGCTTCGCCACCAACTCATTCCTCTGCAACGGGTCCCCCAACCCAATCTCATTGGTTCGTCTGGGCGTCTCGGGCGATACAGGCACACTGCGACTGCCTGCGGCGGGTTGCTGTGCGTGCGGCACGTTGCTAATGCCCAAATGAGTACCCGACGGTGTGTTCGGTTGTGGGTGGGCGTTATGGCGCCAGCGTTGATCTGGACTGCTAATTTGTGGCGGTGTGTTGACACGCTCGGTGTTGTTGGTGCCAGCCCACCCCTTGAACATACTGACGGAGAACTTTCGTAGCCGTTGGAGACCATTGTATTTGTGCGCGTCCATCGCTGCCTCGCACCCATGCTGAGGTAAGGTGACCCAGGTTCTGATGGACACTTCGGCTACCCTGGCATGGTAGATGTTGAGGTGGAAATATGAACATGGAGACTCGAGTGGAGTATGGAGCCATTGCCCTTGAGAGGGGGGGGGAGTGTTGCATTGTATGCTGAGAGAATGGTCCATATGAGAGGGAATCAAAACTACCAGTATAATGGCCGAAAAAACCCGGGTACATACGCACTTATGCACATCCCATTTCCGATCAACACGTGGCGGTCCGATACTCGTTTGATACTCGCGTGCTAATTGATTACCCACGGCATTTCTAATTTCAAGGACATGCAATATGACATGTACGACCAGCTGCCTCTATACTACCAAACACGTTGCCGGTGTTAAAATGCACTCAACATAGCCTTCATTATGCACTACACGACCTATATTAAGTACAATCCAGATCATGATACTCTACAGCGTATCGTACGGTATACGACTACCTGTAGACATATCCTTAGTCCACATGAAAAAATATGCTTCACTATGAATTGCAAACGGAACTCTATGGACCACTACGTGTGCTAGTTCTCATATACCATATATATATATATATATATATATATATACATACATACATACATACATACACACACACATACATACATATA